TTAGACGGATGCTCTACCACTTTCTGTTAAGGGTTTTATAGTAATACAAGCTCCGTGTGTCTGTTTTCACTCCTCGATCTTGCTATTCCCCATTTGGGCAATGATCTTATTTCTCATTAATGTTAATCATCTCTAGCTCCTGGTTTCAAAGGAAGTTTTCTAGTAAACTCCCTGAGCATCTTCTAACAAGATGTGGTACACACTAGTCACGGCATCGTAGCAGCTCCTCTTCGAATTCCAATGAGATGAGACAGAGGGAGACATATAGTTTAATCCAATTAACTCTCTTTGGCATCAGCGACAGCAAGTTCTAGCAAGTGATTTTCAACCTCTGTTGTCTGTGTTCTGTCTTTGTCGCTGTGACCTTGAGCAAGCTAGTGAACAACTCAGAACCCAGGTTCCCATTTATAAATGGAGAGACAGAAGCAAAGTTTAATCACCCCTGGGTGTTGGGATGGCAGAGCACCCAACACAGAGGAAAGTCTGCAGTTTGTTTTCTTTTATGTCCTTGTTGAAGTAGGGAAACCAATGCTGAAGGTCCAAAAATATGCATCCTGGAATTGATCAGAGCATTTAATTTAACTTACAGGAACATCCACTGGGCAAAATTGGTTGGAAATCTACGTCAAGTCTGATGGTATTAAATTGTTAATTTTCACAATAGAATTATTTCCATATTTTAATGAAAACAAATGTTCTGAAAACATTCAAAGAGTTTCTTGAAAAATCTCATGTAATAATAATAGAAAATAAATTATTTTAAAAATCACATAATATATCATTGGCTAACTATGGTTACTATAAATTTTAGCTCACTTACAAAATTTAGAAAATTAAATGGTAGATGATAGTGGGCCCTGAGTGTCTATGAAAGCAGGTTTAGGATGACAATTCGGTCGGAAGGAAGAGCTAGGATTGGCTTTGACATTGTGCTTGCATTGCAAGCCCACTGTTTTTGACATTATGATTGTCTAGCAAGCCCAGATTGCATGCTTATCAGAGATGACTTTGATGCTGATGAGAAAACAGGCCTCCTCTCAAAGCCTCATTTGCATAGCAAGCCCAATAAAGATCATTACTTAACCATATGCTTATTGGGGGCTTTGGGGTATTGTTAGAGACGGTGGTAGGGCTGCAATTCAATTTTGCCACCACTGTAGATAAATTCTGTCCAAAATATATTTAGGGTTTCTGTTTTAAGTTTAATTTGCATAAAATATAGTGTTAAGATTAGACACGTGAAGAATTCAAATGTTGCCAGTTTCACTCACCACTAACTCCTAGACTTGGAACGATTTCCCTCTTTGCAGAAACAAGGTGTTTGAAAAAGTAGTTGAGAACTGCAAGTGTGATATCAGAGCTGTGCATGTGCTGTGATTTCTTTCCTAAGACACAAGATGTTTATAGGATCTGTGATGTTTGCTCACTTTAAGTTTGGTTGCTTGAACAATCCAAGGCTTTTCTAACTCAGTGTTAAAGAGACAGTAAAATTATAGTATTTTTCATATTTATATGAGTGGCACTATTGCCATGTCAAAGGGATAGTAATGTTCATCAAAGAATAAGTTTAGATCTTGTCTCAGGTGGAATACTTAATGTGATTTGATTTTAGGTCAATCTGTCCCCCAAATCTCTTCATCTGGTTATCCATGATGCCTGAAACCCTAAGATATCTCACATCTTTGGGTAAAATCCTAAAATGAAAATGCAATTTGGAGAAGTGGCAATGTCTACACTGATTTTGCAGAGTCAGATTTATAAGGCTTGACTACATGTGACTATCCTGGGAACTACATCTACATTTAACTCGATGGATCTAGCAATGAAGGTTTATATAGGTAAGAATGGCTATCCTCCAGTAGTTGTAATATGGTATTGAGTTTATTCATTTAGTTAACCAATAATATTAATTAATCAATTATTACTCTCTGTAAAAGTGGAAGATCTAAATACAAACACTAGAGTATATTTGTATTTTTTTACACTAAACATGAGCTGTTGCAACTTTCATTGATCACTTCTCTTGATCTCTAATTACTCACCAAGAGCCTTCATTTTTTAGAGTAAGAAAGCTTCTGAGACATTTGCATAGAAGGTGGTGAGAGTAGCTGAGAGGCTCGTGTCTTTGGGTTCCCACGGAGCTTATAGAGGAAGCAATGCAGAAAGGATGGGAATTAACCAGGAAAGAGGGACGGAACAACTTGTCAAGCATTTGCTATGACCTAGGGACTGTGTTCGGTGCTTTCTCTCATTATTATCTTTTTAAATTTTTTAATTTTTTTTTATTTATTTCAGAGAGGAAGGGAGAGGGAGAGAGAGATAGAAACATCAATGATGCAAGAGAATCATTGATAGGCTGCCTCCTGTACACCCCACACTGGGGATCGAGCCTGCAACCTGGGCATGTGCCCTAACCGGTAATAGAACCATGACCTCCTGGTTCATAGGTCGATGCTCAAACACTGAGCCACACCGGCTGGGCTGTTTCATTATTTTGTTAGTGGTGGACCATATGTGATATGATACTTACATATGTTCTCTGAGGTGGTCATGTCTGAGATTATTTAGGTCCTTGGACATCTTTCTCAGGTTGAGATTCTCACATTATGACACTTTTCTTTGGGTTTTCATGAAAGCAAGGCCTGAGACAAAGACTTGGGTGCAGGCAGTTTATGGAGCAGATGAGCCCAGGACAGACGTGAAGGAGTGAGGAGAGTGAAAGACAGCATGAGGATGTCCTATCAAGAGCATTGCTGTAGGCAACAGGGGCTCCATTCTGCTGCAACTTGATCAGACATGCCCAGATGCTACTGAGGGTAGGAGGCTGGATGTCCCTTCAGTGGCTCCTGCACCTCGTTGCCTGAGGATCCTGGAGGGTGTAAGCTCTCCTGCTGTGCCTGTGCTGGGCTGAATGGGCACCTGCAGCGTCAGAGAAGACTCTGAGCAGAAAGACATGCAGATTATGTTTGAGGTGCAATGCAATGAGAGAGTTTAGTCTGAGCTTTCTCGTACTGTCTACTGTAGAGGTCCTAAAACCAGAGGGCCCTGTGATACCGGGTACCTAAGGAGTCTGCTATACTGGTCCACTCTGGTTCACTCATCACTCCTTTTGTCCATCTAGCCATCTGTTCATCTATCTGTTCAACCCAGTGCACTTGTTTAGCACCCATTCTAACCCAGGCCATGCGCTAAGCCCCATGGACACAATGAGAAAGCAAAACACAATCCTTATCTTTAAGAAGCTTATATTTTATTGAGGAAACAAGAGTTAATAAAAATTAACAAGAGTCAATAGAAGTTTCTATAAGGACAACACACAGGGTCACTTAAATTAGTCTTGGAAGGGGTAAAGGACCTTCTTTTTTCTAGAGGAAGCAAAATTTAAGGTGATTCGAAAAGCCTGGAAGGTAGCCAATTAGACTTTACCGTGACTGGCCTTACGGTGGTCAGTGAAAGCTAGCCAAGTAGGTGGAAATTCTGACAGTTTTATCTATTAAAATTTAGTCTTTAGCAATTTCTACCAAATGATTCATTAAGTGCGAGAATTAGTTTTCTGCCACAGTATGAATATTTGGCAGGGAAATTACTGGTTAAGATACCATTACTATTCGAGGGCCATCTTTTCTCAATTGCCATTTTATTTTTTTTTGCATCTACACACATCTTTGCTGACAAAAACAAAAATAATGTAAATAAAATCACCTGAGTTGTTGATTGTTGAACTGGTAGGCAACTTTGAAGTAAGTAAATGCCAAAGAGAAATCCTTCAAAGAGGCAGGGATTAATTAGGGCCTGCAGACCGTCTGTGATTAACAGGGTGTAATAGGTTTCCTGCTGTGTGAGTAGGTTTGCCAGAGTTGGGGTTTATACCAGAAACAGTTTGGGCTGCTGATGTCATGTCCCAGAATGCCCAGGTGTACTCTCCACAGCACAGTGTCACATGGAGCCTGCTTACCATCGCTGGCTGCTGAGAGCAGTTTAAGCTTGCTTGGGAGGTGTCACTTTCTGCTTACTGTGGGGAATTCTTCTCAAATGGTCCTTGGTTGGCATCTTGCCCAGCTACAATCGATGTAGTATAGTCCTTTTAATCTGGGCATGGGACCAGAATAGCAGGAGTATAATTCTCATGAGGCAGAGAAAGATGGACGAGAGGGGGCTGCACAACATTATCTCTACAGTTGCTTACAAATTCTGAAATGGCAGGATTATACTAAAGAGTGAACATTAGTGCTAATGATCTTCCCTCTTGTCTTCATATGGAGAGAAGATTCCCTGATATACATGAAGAAATTCATTCATTACTTATATTACTTTAGATCATATGTTCAAAAATGCATTATGTTTCCACAAGGTGCTAAGCACTCCTGTGAGCTGGCATATGGCGGTGAACAAGAAAGACACAGAAGGTCCATGGAGATTATGTTCTCATGGGGGAAGACATGAAAGAAACAATCAAATAAATTAGCAAGAAAATGACCAGATGATAAGTCCTATGTAGAGAAGTCTAACAGATGTGATGGGGAGTTCCATGTTGGATTTTCTAAAGGCTGGGAGGTGTGGACAGTTGGACCTAATTAATGGAGCTACCGAATAGTGGAAGGTGGGGGTGGGGGGGATGAATGTCTGGGTGATGATGGATGAGCTGCATTGGTGACAATGATGTGACTACGATGGGAGAATCATCTGTTGGGAGAATGTGAGTAATCAGCTGACTCAACGGGGTGATCAACAGGATACAAGAGCAAAGGGATAAGCAAAAGGTGCTTTAGGATTAGAAGCACAAGCCTCTCCAAGGCACCAAAGTCCTGTGATGCTGCCAGCAGGAAGGGCAGTCCCACTTGCTGGTAAGAGGCCAGGGTGGAGTGTTGTGCGGTTGGGACACAAGTTGCCACTGCTGACTCTCACTGGGGTAACTGGGTGGCAGAATGGAGAGGCTCTCTAATTTCAGGAGTATGGACGCCCTTCACACAGTCTGTCATCATCCTTTCCTCCAGGGGTCTGTTCTCATCGCACTTGCTGCATTTATGACTTCATCCCCGAGGGAGGATTCGTGAGCCAAGAGATGCATGATTTTTCCACTCTATATATACACCTGCTGTGAACTGCAGTCTGGTAAGCCAATTTTCTGTCACCTTCCATGGTAGAGCAGAAAGCAAAATGTGCATACTGTTATTTAAAAAGTATTTTATTAATATCTGAAAGTTTTTCTTTTGGCATATTTCTGTCTAAAAGGCCGGTCCATTTTTTTTTTTTTACCATTTTGTTTGAAATAAATAACCACTTCTATCCTACCCACTCATTCTCTTTTTCTTTATTGTTTTACTTTGACATTTTGGGAGTTTACTTTTTAAATATTATACTGACTCTTTGATTGGATACTTGACTCATTATTTTCATTTTTCCGTTAATACATGAATTTAAGGTTGTGAATTCCATATCACTTCAGCTGTATCCCACTAGTTCTGATCAATGATGTGTTTTAAAATTTGCTGTTCAATTCTAAATATTTTTAAAATGTCTCTTATGATTTAATTTTTGAATCACAGATTATTTAATTCTTGTGTTTTAAGATAGTCAAATGTATGGGATTTGGGGGTTATTTTGTTGCTGATATCTAGTTTTACTATAGCATTGTAGTCAGAGAATGAGATCTGTATTATGCCAATGCTTTGGTGTTTGTTGAGTTTTGCTCAACAAAATTTAATCAATTACTGTAAACGTTCCTTGTGTAGTCAAAAAGAACATGTATTCCATAATAGTTTGTGCTGGATTGTATATATACTTATTAGGTTACTCTTGTTAATTTTGATATTCAAATCTATGTCCTCAATAATTTTTATTCACTTGATTTCTAAGATCCTGAGAGAAGTATATCAAATTCTTATTAGGATTGTATAATTTTCCATTTCTCTTGGAAATTTTTTCCTCCTATTTTTGTTTATGTATTTCAAACTATGTTGTGAGGTGCTTACAGGTTCAGGATTATGACATTTCTAGTAAATTTCTTTTATCATTATGAAATATTCCTCCTTTTTCCTGTAATGCTTAAAAAAATTTTTTTAAATCTTGGTTTTTTCCCCTAATATTAAGAAAGCAACCCTCTTTTAGGAAGTCCTTTGTTAGAACATATTTCTACATAATTTTAGTTTCTATTTTGGGGAACCTTAAGATTAGGTGTTTCTCTTGTTATCACATATAGCTTGATTTTTAATAAACTGAATAGTTTCAGTATTTTATTGTAATTACTTTGCTTGTATTGTTCTGCCATCTTAAATTGTTCTTTTTAGTTATCTCACTTTTTTCTTACTTTGCTCTTTCTTCTTTCATACAGCTAATAGGTTTCTCCTCCGTTCTGGGTTTGCAATAATGAATCTTATTTGTAATCTTTAAGAGTTTGTCCCTACATTTTAAATATTCATTCTTTTTTTTTTTTTAGAAGACTTTGGTTTTTTTTGTTGTTTTTTTTAAATATATTTTATTGATTTTTTACAGAGAGGAAGGGAGAGAGATAGAGAGTTAGAAACATCGATGATAGAGAAACATCGATCAGCCGCCTCCTGCACATCTCCTACTGGGGATGTGCCCGCAACCCAAGTACATGCCCTTGACCGGAATTGAACCTGGGACCTTTCAGTCCTCAGGCCGACACTCTATCCACTGAGCCAAACCGGTTTCAGCTAAATATTCATTCTTAACAAAATATAAATCTAATAAACTCTCTGGCAAACTCCTTGCCTTTATACAATAAAAGCATTATTAAATATACTAATATTGATTCCTTCCTCCAATATTCAATGTAAAGTTTCTTAATTATTTTAGTTCTATCCTATATAATAATCCTATATAATAATCCTATATAATAAAAGGGTAATATGCAAATTGACCCTAATGGCGGAATAACCAGAACGACTGCTCGACCAGTCACTATGAGGAGCACTGACCACCTCTCGGTCCTTTTCCCTGGCCGGCAGGCTCCCATTGCCTGATGGCGAATGGGGAACCGAGGGTGGGTGGCGGGGACATGGGTGGCGCCAGGCCAAGGCCCCCGCCCTGCCAGTCACCCCACACACAAAGGGTGTCTCGTGGTGGGGGCAGGGCCGGCAAGCAGGCGGGAATGGTTGACCTTTTGGTTCCTCCCCCCCGCCAGCAGCCTCTGACCACCCGATGGCGAATGGGGAACCAGAGGTGGGTGGTGGCGGGGGGAGGGGCCGACTGTAGGCAGCCGGGGAAGATGGCCCTGATTGTAAGCCAGGCCTAGGGATCGTATCCGAACACGAATTTCATGCTCCGGGCCTCTAGTTTTTGTATAAGCCTGGCTTCTCTGAGAAGCAGAAGGCAAGGTAGGATTAGGTATGCAAGAGATCAGTTGTAGGAAATAAAAGACAAAGAGGGAGGGAACAGGAATAGGTAGGCAGAGCCTTCGGACCCTCATACAAGACTGACAACTGTGAAGGGTGAGAAGAAAAGAAAGATTTGATAGGAAGAAGCTTAGACTGCAGGGTCATTCTGGGAATGTTTTGATGAGGAGTTCCTGAGCAAAAGTTACCCATTAGAAGATTGTATGTTGAGTGGGAATGAGCTGACTCTAGTACCCCTGAGACTAGGTAGTCCTCAGAGTGAATGCAGAGTGAATCCAGAAGTTCAGTAGTTGGGGATATTGGTCAATTAAGCTCTCTTCAACAGAATATATTATAGGGAGATCTGCATGGCACACCTCTATGGGAATATTGGGCAAATGTTCTCAGATCCATTTTCTACATTGCTAATTCTCTCTTCAGTTCTGTTTGATTAGCTGTTTAACCTAACCATGAATGAGTTTCATAGTCAATGATTAAGATGTTTATTTTAGGGGTTATTTTAGTTTTTGTTTTCAAATCTATCAGGTTTCCCTTTTTTTCAGCATCTTTTCTTGTAGCTCCTATACCTTTTAAATCTCTTGTATTAGTTTAATTATGCTTATTTTATAATCCATCCTATCTGCCTCTCACTTATCCTGGATCCTTCCCTAACATGTGTCATAACTTGTGAATGCATCTTCTGCTGGTATTGTTTTTTCTGAGGGAATCAAGGGCGGACGATTTGCTGTTGCTTGATTCTCCAGAGATATTTTGGCTCATGACATACTTACTTTAATTCTCAGCCTGGAAATTCTTATATTACTAAGTATAGGAAATTCTTATAGTTCAAGTGGAACTCCAAATGCATGTTTGTGGCAATTTTGGGAGATTTCTTTTTCTTACTCATAAAACAAGCTTCTCTATAATTTCATTGGAAGATGAATTGAGTTTTTCTTCTACTGAGGATGTAGATCGCTTAGGGTGCCAAGTTTATGCAAGTTCTTAGCCTCAATTTCTGCTCCACATAGGCCTAAGTTCTTTTCTTCTGCCCCTGTGTGTGAATGACAATCAAATCACCTAGCCATCAAGTCCTATTTCCAGGTCCAGCTATTTCCCTCCTCATACCATGTCAGCTTGCACTCTTACTATTTTGATTTTTAGTTTCACCTTTGTTTCTTGCATTTTGGGATATCTCTTACTTTCATATGACCTTAGCCATAATTTTAAAAAAAAATTTCATTTAACTTTTCTGAGTCTTTGTAGCATGACAATTTTTACAAGCTATTCATTCCTCTGAGTTGCTATCCCAGACAGTATCTCTTTAACCTGCCTTATTTTTTTTTTATTAGTAACAGGGTGAATTCAACAGAAGCAGATACTGAGGTAGATTTTGGGTTCCAAGTTATTTATCAGCAATTAATCTGTGAAAGAAAGCAGGGAGCAGGATTGGGCAGAGAAAGAAGTAAAACTGCGATGTGGGCCTGATAAAGCCTCCGCCAGCCTTGTGGGAAGCTTTGGGGTAAAGTCCGCTTGTCAGAGTGGCCTGTGTTGAGCCAACTTGGCTGGGCCTCTCTATCCATGCTCCCTTGCTCAACCATCAGATGCAAACTTCCTTGGAAAGCGTATGGCCATATGAAGGGTGGCTCTCTGTCCCTCAAGTGGGTTCTGAAAGTGCTGACAGCTGGAGCTGCTTGCTGACCACACTTCCCCACAGCTGGACAGCACCTTCTTTCTTGAAGGGGTTCTAGAGAGCATAGCTTTCCATCTGCCACAAACTCCCTGAATTTATAATGTTTAGCTATTTCTCACTGTTTTCTTTTTCCTTTTGCAAAGAATGTAAGCTCTGTGTCAAAGCTGAGCCTGGTCTGGCAGAAACCAAGAGCTGGTGTGTGTGAGCAGAGGGAAATTAATTAAGATTAGTTGAGCAGGCCTAGACTGGGATGTGTCTTGAAAAGTACAGGGAGAGTTTGGATTAATTAGTCTACTGCTGTCATAACAAATGACCACACACTCAGTGGCTTACAGTAGCACAAATGTATTATCTCATGGTCCTGTAGGTCAGAAGTCTGGTTTCTTTGCTCTGAAATTAAGGCTGAGATCAAGGGGTTGGCTGGACTGAGCTCTTAGCTGGAGGCCTTGGGGGAGAATCTGTTCCCTAGCTCCTTCAGGTTGTTAGCAGAATTCAATTTCTTGTGGCCATAGGGCTGAAGCCTGTTTTCTTGCTGAGTGTCAGCTGATACCATCTCTTGGCTCCTTCAGGCCACCGCATTCCTTGTCATTTTGACCTTCATCTTTGAGCCAGTAACAGTACTAGTAGCTAGAGTCTTTCTTCTCTGTTTTTAAGAGTTCATGTGATTAGACTGGGCCTACTTGGGTAACCCAGGATAATCTCCCTATTCTAACATCTGTAGCCTTGATTATACATGCCAAGTCTCTTATGTCATACTAGAGGCCCAGTGCACAAAATTCGTGCAAGAGTAGGCCTTCCTTCCCCTGGCCGCCGGCACCGGCTTCCCTCTGGCACCCGGGACCCAGGCTTCCCTCACAGCCCTGGTTTTGTCCAGAAGGTCGTCTGGAAAGATGTCTGGAAGGACGTCTGGTCTAATTAGCATATTATGCTTTTGTTATTATAGATAACATGACATGTCACAGATATCTGACGTGGACAACTTTGGGAAACATTATGCTGCCTATCACTGCTGGGAAACAGAGGTTTCAGGAGAAGGTCCTGACAGGATACAAGTGGCATTTTAGGAAGATTTTTCAGCAGTCAGG